TGTGTGGGTGGATGAAGTTCACATTGACCTAACACAGTGTTTCTTCATGTGCAGGCAAAGAAATGGCAGTGGACAACACTCCTCCAGAGCCAAAGAGCAGAGCTGATTTTGTGAAATGTAAGTATCTGGTGTATTTACCTGAAATATGACAATTTAACTGTAACATCAAATGAATATTATCAATATGTCTCTTCTCCAGACTTCTGCCAGCTGAAACTGGACCCTAACACAGCCTACAAGGAGCTGTACATCTCTGAAAGCAGCAGAAAAGTCATCCGCACCAGGGACCTGCAGCCCTACGGGGACAACTCAGACAGGTTCGACAGCTTTGCCCAGGTGCTGTGCCGGGAGGCCCTGTCCGGAGGCCGATTTTACTGGGAGATCGAGTGGAGCGGGGAGTTCTCCATCGGAGTGGCCTACAGGAGCATCAGCCGGAAGGGCAAAGGCTCACTGTGTCTGCTGGGCTACAACGATAAATCCTGGAGTCTCCTCTGCTCCGACACAGGTTACTCTGCCTGGCACAACCGGGTGGACAAAGCCATCAACGCTCCCCACTCCCCCAGGATAGGCGTGTACCTAGACCACACTGCGGGTGTACTGGCTTTTTATAGCATAAGCAACACCATGACCCTCCTGCACAGGTTTGAGACCACATTTGTTGAGCCGCTCTATCCAGGCTTTGGAGTTGGAACCTCAGTCAAGATCTGCAATGTCAAGTGAGCCAATATTTGAGCTCTTGTTTGAGAATCTGAAAATATTTTCCACGTGTTTCTCTTAATATACAGCAGTGCTTTTGGAATATATATTTTTACAACCTTCTAAAACTGTACCAAACCACATTATTGAAGTCGCTTATTTCTGAAGAAAAATGTTTATATGCTTTTTTAACACTAAACATCACTTATTGCTTTTGGCCTTGTACTGTCAAATCACATTACTGAAATAAATAACTATTACATAATCACACAAATACAATATTAAATAAGTGTTATCTCTTTTATCCCCTCTGATAAGAACTGATGGATAATATTATAACATGTCAGTATGTAATAAATTAGTCTTAGTGAGCTAAACCTGTAAATGTCATGTTCCCACTGATAGTTGTACCATCATATTTTTACACAGCTATTGCTTTATGAACATATATATCTCAAGTGATGGTGTTATTATAAGTCATAATGAATGTAACCTGAGGTAGATTTGGTTATGATAGGTCATCACATTCATGGCCAATATTATTGCATAATTAATTTAAATGTATTGCACTCTTATGATCGGTATGAGTATATAATAATGTTCCTGTTGGTGCATGAACAGGTATTATTATAGTTTCAACACATTTAGAAGAACATTTCATTGTCATTTTGCCATGTTTTGATATTATCTGATCGTTGTCATATCAGTTGCTGAGAGTCCTTACAGTTTTTTTCACTTGAACTAACCCCTTATTTAATTCTATGTATGTTTACGTATATAATGGACAGAGTATAATTGATATCAAAAGACTTGTTTTGTAACAAAATTATTCAATAGTTCAAAATAAAGAGCTAAATGAATGAATTGAGTGTTGTGTTTTTTGACATTATTGATTTCTGCATAAAAACATAAGGACCAAAGAGTTTTAATCTATGTTTTATCTATATAGTCCTATTGGATTGTGCTTTAACAAAGCTGTGGTCTAAAAGAATGTCAAAGGAATCTGAAACAGATATCATTTGAACTTTGCTTAGATAAAGTATTTGACTGGTATGTGAACAACCACACCACCTGTTCTGAAACAAATACAGTTCTGCTACTTGAACAGAGACAATACTCACGGCTCCCTCTGTTGGTTGATTACAGGAATTGAACTGAAAACTGTTTTGACTATAGACCATAGAATTTTCATGCACACTTATTTATGTATAAAACCATCTTTTTATGTAACTTATCTTTGGGTATAAAAATCAAGATTGCATTTTACTGCACAAACATGTTCAAGTGCAAATCCAAAGTAGTTATTAAGGGAGAGGTGGAGTGTGCCACAGTCACATGCAGAGCGGTCTTCATATATTTTTTAGCAGAACTTTCCACAGTATTCAATTTTTGACAGACATTTTAACCTGTAGGAAAAGCACAGGTATTACTTATACCAATAACAATGCCTCCATTATATGACAGCCAGCATACGCAATGCAATGATTTCTTTTCATATTTACATCTGAGCTTTTCCTGCGGCGGCAGGTCAAATTGTCCTGTGTGTGAATTCTAACAAAAACTCTTCTCCACCTAACACACTAAAGTTTCCTGGTGTAGAAAGTATTGTAGACTTTAATCATTCATATTTCCTTTTGCTGTATGCTCACGTTGGTCAAATACATGTTATATAATATGCAAGGACTCAGAAATCAAGTGTTAAACAATAGACATCTATTTATTGGTTCCCAGGAGTCTTGCAGAGAGTTGAGCATACAACGCCCACAAAGAAAGAAGAGCACGACAGTCCAAACTTCAGACATCATAGCCAATGAGGCCCCCTTTGCCGATGCACTCTCCAATGTAGAACCACATCAACACTTCTGTGGCCACCAGTCCATTCCTAAAAGCATCCTGTGAGAAAACAAAACTGCATTAGATTTGTTTCTGAAAAAGTAAATGTCATATTAGCCACCGACGACCAATTTCCTGTCATTGTTTTCCGCGAGCACTGATTTAATTTCATTTCATACAGCATAGACTTGAACAAAGAATACACAAGCATTTTACGTTTGTGTTTTATGTCCCAGTCCATTAGAACTTAAAACAAATGTTTCTCTTTCTTTTAATTTGGACAACATCTCCTCAAGCACTAGTCTACAAAATCTCTAATCCCATAGTACATTATGGTAATTTGAGTATACCCAGTTGGTGTTTGGTTGTTTAAATATGATTACTTATATACAAGTAAAAAAAGATTGGGAGATTTATGACAAAATTATTTTTGTGACCAATACTGCAGAGATTTTGGCTTCCACCCCGGTCCATAAACCTCCCTGTAAACAGTTTACATAGTTAAAAAGTAAAAAAGAAAACTGTCCTCAATGAGGTCCAAGACATTCTCTCTGGAAAAAAAATGTCAAAATACAATTCACAATATATATTTTTTATTTCATTTTATCATTTAGTGCAAAGAGCACCACAAAAGCAAAGGTTCCACTCACATCCACTGTCCTGGGGTTAAAAACTATAACAATTTGCATGGCTGGTCTCTACTCAGAATAAGTGGGTCATTTGTTGTTTTTTTTGTCATAGGTGAACTTTTGGTAAACCTTTATGATAAAAGGACATTTAGAATTCAAGAAATCAATTTTGGTCAACAAACTGCATTCTGTTTTACAGTTCGCCATTTGAGTCAAACATCTATAGCAACATGTTCAATATGTTTCCTCTTCTATCAGGATATCAGAAAGCCTCCACCTCTTGTTACCATGAACGCACCCCATACAGCTACCACAGCCTAAGTCTTGAGAACATTTAGATGCTGGAATTGGAATTTTTTAATGATATGGCACATCAAAAGGGTTTTTGATAAATACTTTATAGGACTATATTTTTTTAGTATTTGTTAAATCTGAAGAACAAGATTTGAAGGACAGGGCATCTCTGCAGCTCTACAGTACTTCATTATAATGCTGTTTGTCACACATTTTACCTTTTCAGAAAACGATTCGGAGATAGTGACTTTGACCCACTGATAGTGAAGCACTAAAAAACACTGGAGACACACACACACACAAATGTCTGCCTGACAATAACACACGCACCTTCACTGTGGTTTGACCGAGACGTCCTGACTGGACAGCCTTGATGAGATTTTTGGCCCCCTCGATGGCCTTGGGGATCTCGGCAGGGCTGGGGGGGACAAGTTCAACACGGGCGTAGTACCAGAAGGTCGCTAACCGAGGTTTGGAGTAGGTGACAGCGGCTAGGACAGAAGAAATATAACGTTAGTAATTATGATGAGTCTTACTGCGGCTGAAGCTCAAGTGCTACAACAAAGCTCCTCCTGCACGCTGATTGGTAGCTTCAGGCAGACCGCTATACGGCTTAATGCTTAATGCTTAATGCGTGTCAACAACACAAACCACACGAGCCAGCTAGCAGAACAGCAATTTAGTCAAAGGGAGCAAAGCAATGTGAAATCTTAATTCCGCTTTTACTGCACCGAACAGCATTAGTGTTACATTAACTTCATTCAATTGATGTCGGAGTCTCGTTGGGACTGAGAGCCTCGGCCTAGCTCCGTCACATCCATAAAGATTATAGTACATTTCAATCCTACAATTCAGTTCCCCATTACCGGATACATGTTGTGATTAATAACACGACAAATTCACTTACCGCCGACCAGGGTAGGTACTTTAGCGACCATTTTTTGCACTGCCTGTGCCATGTTGATGCGTTTGTCGATGCTAACTGTTCCCCTACTGAATGTCACCTCCAGGACCAGGACGAGGACCCGCTGCTGCAGCTGTCCACACAAGTGCCTGTATAGAAACAGCCTGCGAGGTCAGACCCGATTGTATAATTATGACGCTACAGTGACATGTACAGTGATATTTGGACGTGTTTTGATTTTTGATACTTTAATACAATGTCCCTACAATGTTTAGCGTTACAGTTCAGTTACAGAATTCAGTAGTTAAAATCGTTATTTAAAGTCAAACAGCTAATGCACAAGCTACATTTTTGCCATATGGCCACTAGAGGGTGCAGTATTGTTTGTTTGATGGTTTACGTCATAGACTACTATATTTACTAATTACTAATGTTTATATATCAGATAAAGATGATTAATAGATATTTTTTTACGTTAATTAAAGACATTTAAATAGGGACTCCACTTAGACTAAGAAGATGTATCATGTTAAGGAAATTTAACATTTTATAAGATCCATTCCAAGTCAGTTATACTTTTCTAGGCCACATAACTGGTAAATATATTCATATATGTACATCACCCGGGACACATCTCACTCATCTCAACACCACCAAATGATTTATTGTTGTCATTAAGTCTTATAATATATGTGGTCAGATCAGTTACATGAAAATCTAGGCTTTTCTGCTAAAACTCTTATTATGTACCACCACTCTTATATTAGTCTAGAAACTTGTATGCTTTCATCCATTTTTCACATGGCTTTGTGTATTCTGTGTTAGGTTATGAATGTTTTGGGAGTTCAACATGGCAAACAGTTGGTGAATATCCAGACACAGGTAAGATTACACCTGAAAAGGATTCACAATAAAACAAAGATTTTTTGCTCTGTCACTACTATATCTGCTGTCAGCTACATTCTCAATAAACATACACGTTCTCTGCAAAAATACAAACATTTATATGTAATGTTTTATATGTAATACGAAAAACACATACATATAACCCCCCACTCCCACATGAAACAATACAATTAGCATTAACATCGTGGTCATTTATCATCAGTACTTTATATTGCTGCTGCTCATTTCGTTCCTTTAAAAAATGCTGCTGGAAGTTTCTGTTGCCACTGGGTTACATTCATATTAGTACAGTAAGAGTTTTTTTTAAGCTGTGGAGTATTTGATTTATTCTGTGATTATTATTTTTTTTAATTCATTTATATTAAGATCATATGTGGAAATTGTTTAAATGTTCTTCTTATCTAGATCTGTAATACTGAACTAAAATACATTTTCATACCAAATATAAATACACATTATAACATTTCTTTCTGATTTGTACAACTGACCCTGTTACAGTTTCATTTAGCTTATTTTATGTGTTTCATCTTTTGTATCCATTTGTGAAACCCTGGGATTAGATTAAGGCAATCTTGACTAATATAATAATAATAATGATGATGTTAGTTTTCTTGATCAGCTCATTTTGAAGTCTCTTCAGCAGGTATATGGTATCTTTGTCGCTCACAAACATGATATCTCATAATTGTCTTCCTCCTGCTGAGATACAAACAAGAAATTATGGTAAACATTATAATCAATAATGAAGCAATAGTTTTGTAAATAGATGGTGTAATAGATATACTCTTTCAAAAACTTTTTTTACCTCACTGTCATTGATATCTCTGGTAGGTGTGTCAGTCTGCCTCGACTTGTCGTAGCCAGTTTTATCCATGACTAGTAAGGAAATGAATTGTCCTCCTTCCTTCACAAGCATTATAACATCTTCCAGACATTTCTCCTCAACATTTTGTCCATTGACTTCTATCACCACATCACCAACAAGCAATCCTGCACTCTGCCCAGAGCCCCCAAAAGCCACCTACAGGGGAAAAAGCAAAATCTAACACCACATTCAACAAAAAATAATTTTTTGCTTTTTGCCTTAGTAACAAAGTAATGTTGACTAAGTGTATAACATTATTTAACCCCCACCTGGCTTATGAAGGTCTCAGGACTCTGTGGGACACAGCCCAGGTTAAAGCCAAACCCCAAAGGGCCTTTCCGGATAGAACAGAGTCTGGGTTTACCCGAGCCATCAGTTTCCTTTTGTGGTGTGTGCTCTGCCTCAGAGGCTGGTGTGCTGCTCTCCTTTTCTCTCTCATCAGCATCATCTTCACAGAAGAGAAGAGGTGATAGACCCAACTGCAGAGAAAAGATAAAGGAAAGAAACCATAAACACTGACCTTTATCTGGTTGTGGATTTTAGACATGGCTCTGGGTTTTTTTTTTCCTCATCCTCTCCTCTCCTTGCATATCCAAAATGTGTTTTGGAATAGACATGTATCTGGTAGGTGATGCCCACCTGGGTGTAGAACTCCAGCCCCTGGGGACTGATGATGGTGAGGGAGACCTGTTGTCCACTCAGTCTCACTCTGTCCACAATTTCTTCATGCTTCAGTGACTCCACTGACTCTCCATTGACCTCTAGCAGCAGCTCTCCATCCCGCATACCTGCCCTCTCTGCTGGACTGCCCCTGTCCATCTCACGCAGAACATGAGCTATTATTCAAACATACACAGAAATTGAAGTCAAAGACTAGAGTCTGGAATGTCTGTGTTTGGGTTTAGAACTCTTTTTGTCCGCTCACTCACATATGCGTCCTGATGGCGCCTTCTCCAGCCGAAGGAGGAAGCCGTAGCCCTCGGGCCCACAGACCAGGTGGAGTTTTCTGGCTCTATAAGGAAGGTTATGTGGAACAGCAATGGTGGGCAGGATGGGCATCCTCTCTCGCATGTAGTTCTTTTCACTCTCGCTATCAATCACTAGGAGTGTGATGTGTTTGCCACATTTTTTCATCTACAGCAAAACATTATTTATTACTGCTAGACAAAGGCTGGACATACAGTAATCTTGGAATTGTGGATCAGCTGTTTGTGTATTTTTTAAAGATTTTTTATATTTATCAGTTGTAATAAGTCTGTTGTAATAAGTCTGATATCTAGTTTTGGAGTAAATGACAACAAAACAAAGTAGGCTACAGCAGAAGAGCTACTTTACTTTTTTAATCTTGATTATAAACCGGCTAACTTCCTACCATCCTACTGAGTGCAGAGTGTGTGAGATCGGACACTGTTGCTCCGTTCATCCAAACCAAGCGATCTCCTTTTTGCACCCCTGCCTTTTCAGCTGCACCTCCTGTAACCAGGCTCACAGAGAAGCGACCTTTCTCTCCTACAGAGAAGAAACAGGAGGAGAAACTGCGTAACACTTCACAGACTTCAACTTAACGTCCTTCGGATAGACATCTAATCTGGAACCTTGGACTTGTGATTACCAGGATTAGTGTTACCTTCCACGGGTGTGAAGTTGATGCCCAGACCTGAGACAGGATCCCTGGTGATGTGGCACAGTCTGGGCGGTTTGCAGCCCTCTCCCTTGTGCGCTCTGGCCCGACCGCGAAGGTCTTGACCTCGGGACACGGCCTGCTCATACTCTTCCCCATCCAACACTAATAAACATAACTGGTGTCCACTTATCTTTATCTTCCTGGCCACCTGGTTCAAAAAAGGGACACACAGTAGTTTCACAGTCAGTCCTTTGGAGAGGCTTCTGTAGGTTTAATAATGTAGGAAGCTCATCTTACCTCAGGGTGAGGAACATCATCAACATAGCAGTTGTTGACTTCCAGAAGCCTGTCTCCATCTTGAAGGCCACTGCGCCCTGCAACACCTCCTGACACTACATTTCTGATTATGTGGCCCTGACGTCCCCTCTCCACCCGCAGATGGAAGCCATAGGATTCCCCCTCCTCTCGTTTAAGAACACACAGACGTGGGCTGGGTGTTGACACAGAGTCTGAGCAGGAAGAGACAGAGAAGTGCTATCATACCTTCTCTGAGCACAAGATAATTAGAAATGTGTATGCAGCATACCTGCGTCGTCTGTGATGACCATCACTGGGTTGTCTATTCCCTCCTTAGGATTAAATGTAAATTTCCTGCAAAAGGATAAATGAGAGACTTTTCAGTCACAAAATATTGACTATAAAATTAGGTAAATTGGTAGGTATAGGGAGAAAAGAATAAAAGAAATTTACTAGGCAGGAAAATTGCCATATTTGCTTTTCTACATTTTAAAGAAATTTATTGATCAATTGTATCAATTAGAATTACATTACATTTTTTAGTGCAGATTAACTGCAAAACCTCACATGGAAATAACAACAGCACTTGTGTACTTGTGTACAGTAGGGCTTATCTTAGGCCCAAAGTCTTAAAGATTACTACGTTCCAAAAGTCAACATGCCAAGCCAAGTCAATTACACACATATATATATATACTATACATTAATGTGGTAGAGTTTATAGTCTTCACCTTTAAGTTCAAACTGACAGTGAAATAATGAGAGTATTTTAAAACGTATAAATGAGATAAAAGATGAAAAGCAGACTTACTCTGTCAACCCTATGATTTCCACCAAACCTTGAAAAACACAGATCATATCAATTAACTGGCTTTAGCAGAATACGGTCGTGAAATTCAATATTGACATATTTCCATACATATTTACCATATTTACTCAAATATGTGATCTAGTTACCATATTTATTTTTAATCTGCATTGATACTGCACACCCCGGATCAAATTTTACAGCATAGCAACACAAATCAATCATAATATTATATCTCAGTATGATGAACTGTCAGTTACATTATGATACATTAATTTGAACTTACAGCTCAGTGAATCTCTCTGTGGCTCTGTCTACTAAACGTTGAAACAGGCTGGTATTTGAGCCCTGGATGACGTATCTGCTGACTTTATCAGCTGAGGCACCATAAAACTGGGTTTGACTTTATGTGATTATCTTTAGTCTTTGTCCTCTCTAGAAGGGCAGTGAATTAAAGAACATTGAAAACCTTAAAGTTGCAAATGTCTAGTGAATATGTAACAGATAATGTATTTAACTTGGTAGGATCTGCGTGGCACTATCATAAATAAACATTAGTTTCTAGGTGGATTATTGCATCAGGACAACTGAGATGCTGAAAGTTTATCAGAGAAAAATACCCTTCAGACTTCAAATAAAACCATTATGGTTAACACTTTACCATGTGGCAGAGCGCTGCCCTTCAGTAAGGGGCAAGAACAATGTATACGCTTATGTCAGTTTATGACACCACATGGGTTTAAAAAACATCCTTCCTACATAACCAATATGACTGAGTCATCACATTTTATTCATTTATTAATTTTCTTTCATTATTATCCAGTATCCAAGTTGTGTGCTGCAGGGATCCATATTGGGCCCTGTTCTGTTAAACCATGAGGCTGCCTACTCTGTGTCCGAGTGTAAAATGTACGTTTATGCAGGCGATACTGTTTTATACCGTGTTGCTGATTCTGTTCCATTAGCCATAGAGAAATTACAGCTCTCAGCTTTAATACACTGTAATATGCATGTTTTAATATTAAATGAGTACTTAATCAAAATTAGACAATATTCATGCTATTCTCTAGATGCAAAGATATAGATTTACACACGCTGTTTAACATTGACAGGGTCACAGAATACTAATATCTTGGCTTCTGGCTTAATTAGAAATTTAGATTGAAATATCACATAGAAAACCTTATTGACAAACTGTGACTGAAGCTCGGCTTGTTGTACAGAAACAGAAGCAGCTTCCCCCTCAGCTGTAGAAAGACGATTGTTAAAGCAGTTTCCTCTCAGATCTGGATTTTGGGGATGTCAACATGTTACTGCCTCCAGTCTGAGGCTCCAGACTCCACTTACCACTCTGCTGGTTCATTACTGGTGGTGATTAAGACACTCGCCACTGCGATCTGTATGAGAAAGTTGGCTGGCCTTCCCTGTCTGAGAGAAGTAATAACTAGTGGCCCTTGCCATATCTCATCCTGACTGCAATGGCACTCTGGCCTGTATTTAGCTTGCTCCAGTGATTGGTTGATGCTCAGGCAGCCTTGAAGCAGAATTGATAGGATAACTTGCCTGCTGTTTGTGCAGCAGTCTCATGGAATGACGCACCCCAAAAAATCCACACCTTCTTAAATTTACTGACTCTGTCCTTGTTTTTTTTGAACCACTACATTAGGAGGAACAAAAACAGCGTATACACTAAACCGCCACTGTCCTCTACACTGCTTATCTATTTGGTTCATCATGTCAGTGACACTGTGTCCTTCTTTCTCCAACGCAGTGTGACATAAAAACAAACTGTTGCAATAATGTAACATCCCTAGTAACTCTCTGCTCCCAGATGAAATCCATCTCTCACATCACATCTATGTGGCTAAGCAGCCCTTCTGCTGAATAGCTTATACGCAGGCACTTCGGTACAGCTAATGGGTCACTGTTTGCTTTTCCCCACCATAAACCTTCTTTCAAATGTTCTAGGGCATAGGGATCCTCTATATACACACAAAGACAAGCTGCTGAAGCTCAGCTAGGTCACTTAAATAGTAGCAATTGGATTTCTTCTTAAAGATGAGAGTTTTGAGTTGTTATCTAAACATGCAGATTGAATTTCTGTCAAGGTATAGAAATCAAGTCAAGTGTTCTATTTAAAATCTATATTTAATTAGACACAACACTGTGTGATACAAATTTGACTCGGAATGCAGCACGTAGAATACAAAGACAGGTATTATAAATACAATGAGAGTTCAAACTATTTAAAAAAGAAAGAAATTATTATTCTAATTACAAACTTTATGGCCAAGAAATACAACTTGAATGAGACAGCTCATATAAGATGGCCGGAAAACAAATATTAGTACGTTTTGAGAGGTTTGAACGTATTACCTGTGCTTGATCTCATGTTGTGTCTCTTTCCCATCAGGTCAGCAGTCACAGACGCATATAACAGAGGCAGAACTGAACGGGCAAACATTTATTCTGACCACAGAGAGACTCCTCCCTTTGACGGACACCATGGCTTAATGTTTAATCAGCATGTGACATTTTGAACACACATACCTATGTCTCCTCTGTGGACTGAAAGTATGAAAAACAACAAGATTGTTTCTACTGTCATCTTGTTATTCTGGGAAAGATGCAATAATTTTTGCATGTGTGCACACAATCTGTGCTTGTCGCCAGAGTGACTGTCTGTGTCAAGGCCAAAGCTTGGTGATAAGTTGCACAAACAGACCAGCATTTCAATCCTCCAATTTCAAATGGAGGATGAGGGAGGGAGATGAGAAATCAAAACATTATTACTTGTCATACATCACTTAGACATGCACCATTAGAGATGGGAGGTTATTAACTGGTTTCATGTTTTTGCCATTTCACCATATTTTTCTGGCATTTTTTAACTAAACTGATTGTGTGTCTGTAAACGTTCAACAGTCAGGCCTCATATTTCTCTGGACAAAATGTTACATGAGATATGAAAGTTACAGTAAAGCAATGACTTCCAGCATTGAGCTCCAGGTTTGAGAAATTGTAATGAGTCAACACGTTCAACTCCATTGTGCTCAACCTCCAAACAGATGAAACAACAGAACATCACTCCTTTCTTTAGCATGCAAATTGGAGAACATGCTCCAGATTTTAGTCGTTACTAATGGTTTCTGACCAAATACAAGTTTTGTGTCTCCCATGAACTGAGCGAATGTATCAATCAATCAGGTTCACACATTAGAACATCCGACACGCACACCCCCACACACAGACAGTTTGTGCAAGTCTGTTTGAAGAAGGTTTTGTGTGGGGAGATGATACTTTTAGTACAGTTTCTGGTTAAAGCACCCTTTATGGTTTATTTCATCAGTTTCCATAGTATTCCACCAAACACTGTCAATGTGACTTTGTGTACAGGTCCACACGTGATAGCTCCACAACAAGCACAGGACAGTGTCACAGTGCAAAATGTGTCACTTATCTTTATTGTTCTTTGGGTTACGAATGTGTACGAAAGACAAAAGCTTTTTATTTTTATTTTAAATCACAGGTTATTTTGTATGATATTTAAACGTGCACCTCTGGTTGCAACATTTGGTTATTAGATAATAACCAATAATAACGTGGTTCCTTTGCAAGGTAGTTAAGCATTTTGAAGGAAGAGCATGCTGCAATTCAGGATAAACTGGATCTGCTGCAGAGTCAGACGCAATGCCACTGTTGAGCATGGGAAGTATTTAGATGCTGTGAAGGAATCACTGTGTACATGGATTTTGATCTCAAAGCCACAGAAGCTTTCTGCTAGACAGATTACCAAGTGGCATCTTCTGCAAGTACATGATACTAGAGTCTCAGCAGGTGGCACTGCAGCATATCCAGAATATTCCACTTTACTCTGTGTGCTAATACCAATTTGAAGCATGGACATTCATTGTAGGGGGACTTCTGCTGTTCTCTAATTCTTTAACACTTCAATTCAGTGTTATCTTCAATTAATTTTAAAAAAGCTTTCTATCTTTCAGCAAATAGATAGCAGTTTCTTCAGAATTGAGTGTTGAAGAAGATATCAAGTGAACAAATTAAATTAAATTAAATTCACCAAAAACATACAATAGCTATGATAGTGTAACTCTTTTGAACATGCGCTGCAACAATCTTTAACAAGTTAAAACTGTCTCAAGTTAGTCAGAAATGTCTAATTAAAACCTCAGTCCACTAGATGGCAGAAAAATCAAAATCCAATATGTCTGCACAGAAAACAGATTAAACCATTTTTATTGAAATTACATATAATTTCAATTAGGAAAGTTAAAGTAATATTGTGTTTCTTGTTACTCCATCATAGTGTAGCATCCCTGACAAGCTCAGTCAGTAAGCTCTAAGTAAAATGATAATTTTGTGGGGAAAACAGGTCTCCACTGTAGGTTTTGAATTTTGTTTTTTAGTTGACTGAGGAGTCATACATCTGTTTAGCCAAAGTGCAGGGACAGCAAAAGGTCCAAACTTTGGACAGTTCACTATTCAGATGTTACATCAAAATGATTTGACTTTATTGTGTTAGGGTGAGGTATTTCAAAGTATTCCTTCTTTTGCTTACAAGGTGCAAAGTGTGTGGGCACACACAGTCAATTAGTAACTTCACCTCCACTGATGTTCAAAGGTTAGGCTACAATATAGCTTGTAGAAATGAAATGGAAAAAATGGTGACTCAAGATGATTTGTGCAAATATGTGTGTCATAGTTCAATGTAGCACACACACACAATGAAAGTGGGAGCTAAATTAATTTGAACCTGCTAAATGACAGACAATTAGTGTATACAGTATGTTTGTGTGATGACACTCCCTTAACCTCTGGAGCAGGGAGAATGATAGATAGAGAGAAAAAGAGAGAGTGGATCCGAAGAGCCAATAGGGCTTCTGTGGGACTTTTCAATCCTGGTTCCGGATCCAAGTGTCAGTCCCGCTCGGCTGTCCCTGATGGGATCCTCCCAGCCACAGAAAGACTCACTGCTCCCATCTGTGCCTAAATCCTTGCCAAAGCACTGGAGTGTACTAACGGTCAAAAGTCTGTAAAGGAGACAGTTACCTTTTTGTATGATCCCATTGGCTACACATATCTTAAATCCAAGCATGGCTGCTCTTCTGTGGACCAACTTGACCCCCCACCCCGTTCAGCTGCAGAAGACAATTTACAACAAAAAGAGATGGGATCATCTTGTTAGAGAGTCTGTAAGGAAAGACAAGGACAAGTGCTGCTACACTACCAGCGCTGCCCTTCGCATTGCGAAGAGCCGGAGGCTAATCTCAGCCCCAGTGGGCCTGTGCAACATCCTTGCAGAGAGTCCAAAGGGCACTCTTTTATCGTGACACACATGGCTTCTCTGTGTTTCCTAGGCCTGTGAATCCATGGCAACAGCAGCGTGAATGGTCTATTCAGGACAGCCTTCACTACACCCTCTGCCTCTGAAACTATAGATCAGTAAACAAATTGAATAGTTGGTTTGGTCCAGATTTATTAGACTTGGTCCCCGGGGGAATCAAAACTAATCTCTTTATTCTGAAGAAAGACAAATAGGGTATACTACTGTTAATGCTCCACACAATCCTCATCTCAACAGAGATTGACCTCTGAAATTCATTCATATATGGATGTGAAAAAACAATTATTTGGTTATTGATTCAGGATTGCTTGCTCTAAATGTTAAGATATCAAAATATAGTATTTTTAGGGTGTATATACATACATGTGGGGCTAAGAACAGATATTTGTGTTATGGTAATGAAACATTTTAGATGTAGCATTCTCTTTTTTTTATAAATTAGATTTGAATAAGATGTTACAAGAAGCAAAAACATGAGTGGTAAATGTTATGTGTGAGTTTTAAATAAAATATTTAACACTAGATTTCTTTAAGATGAACATGGTGACACAGATTTATAATGAGTTCTCTCGAAAATGTTTGAACATTTTACCCCCAACACTTCCCCATTTGATTGTGAAATGTTTCAGGTTTTTTTTTGTGTATGTGGATTTTTTTTTAAGTAACTTTGGCCAGAGGATCCTTCTGGATGGATCAAAATCCAGATGTTGTCTAGGACTCTGATGCTCTTGGGACAATTCATTATTATGATACCACAGAAAATAGAAAAACTAACAACAACTTCACGGGGAATTTCAACATCCTTTCTAGTCCAATTTAACAACATTTCATTCATGTTTTTTTTCTAACTGGGTGTGTTGTCTGTTAATGAATCTGCAATGAATGCTTACACCTGATGTACTTGTCTATGTCATTTATCCTCAAAAACATATGCCTGCACTGAGTAGATTTTTGGCACTGATCTGGTCCTTTCATTTAGCTGGTATCGCTATACTAATGTTTTAACATGAGGATGAATTAATTTTACTGTTATTCTGCAGTAGATATGAACACAATGAAAAATCTCTCCCACCTATTGAGACAAACAACAGTAATCTTCAAAATGACTATTACTTCGACACAACCTTTATTAAATAGGAGTCTATTTTCTACAGTATCATACAATGGTGTTCTTGCAGTGAAAAGTTTGGGGGTCTTGCAATCACCACAGGCATCATAGTGTATGAATCATGGTGTGTGATTGACAAATACCATGTACTAATATTCCTGCAACCACTATTTTCTTCAGAAGCCATAATTGCTGGCTCAGCGGAATGACAACTCTGCTGAAGGGTCAGCTTGTTTGAGGAACGGCGTTCCCAGCAGCTTTCATTCAGTTAGATTGAGCAATTAAGTTACATCCTCTGCCATGAGAAATTGTGGATGTAAAAAAGGGAAACGATCACTTGGGTGCACACTCCACCCTACAGATATTGCATGATTTTGACCCAAACACACACATTCTGCTTATAGACTTTGAAGAAGAAATATTTTATAGCCTATAATTTTTATTTCTCAGATTATCTTGAGAAAATGCATGAACAGATGCTTATTTCTTACATTTGGTTATATGTTGGTGTAAGAGGGAAAACTAAACTAAATATATTCCATGATATTTTGCTTTGCTTGCAAACTTTAGCTATGGCATAATAGTCGATGTAGGACATTTCCTTCAGTGAGAAAAAGCTGTCCGCTTATCTACTTGTGTCACGAAAACAGCTGCAAAAAATGCTACAGTACACACAAATACTGCATGCACACGTATATTTAAAAGGTTTGTCACAGTAAAGTGTGTCCAGATCATCAGCGTGTAGGTGAATTTTCATTACTTTAAATGTAAATGTAAATTGTGCATATTTAACAGTAATGTTTAACAAAAGAAAATAAATCAAGGTCATATGATGAAGAATGCGAATGTGAAGCATGCTGCTGGAACATATGAGACCTAATTTAAATACAATTGATGTTGAATAGATGGTTTTTGAGTACAATAAAAAGTTGAATTTCGGGCTTGAGTTTAGCGTGTTCTGATTGGCTGAGAGGAACCAGTGTACAACACGTAAGACTGACGTTAATTTACAAAGACGAATGATGTGGCAAAAATCAAAGGGCGAATAGAAAGAAGTAGTTCCAGTTTTACACATGTTCTCATATATATTTTTACGATGAAGTCTTGTGCCGCTGTTTCGGATTCCAAAGAGAATATAAAAACAATGTAAATTTACCAATGAGATAGTAATTATATACGCCATAATGCACTTTTAAAAAAGTGTGACTGCGTATTCATCCGCCTTATTGAGTGCACTTCCATTTCCGGGATGTTTTCTCTGCTGACCAACCTCCACCGCCATTGCAGGTCCAGGGAGTCGGTGTAGTGGCAGTCAGTCGTTAGCCAGGGAAGCCCGCAAGTAAACAGTTTAGGGACGAATTAAAAAAAAAGTACATCACACCGACAGTACGTTTCACACAAGGCTTAGAATTAATTCATTTGGACTTTAGATTAGAGGCTCCCTGGCTGTCCGGCTAGGATCTGAGAGAAGAAGCCGTAGTTTGTTAGCATTAGAAGAACCCGGAGGAGAGTGAGAGAGGAACCGCCATGGCTCAGATCCTGCCTATTCGCTTTCAGGAGCACCTGCAGGTATGTGGATGAATGGGTGGTTAAATCGTTAGGTAAAGTTTGTCTTTCAGTCGCAGTAACAGCGAGACTCCCAGTGGCTCCGGAGACTTTTCCAACACAAGTTAAGGCTTGCTAACAAGCTAAGTTAGCTTTCGCGAGCTATGCTAACTAGCTTGGCAGGGTGGATGACGTTTATCTTAGTTAGCATCTAGCCTTCTTGCTAACACTTTGACTAGCCACCCTTGTTCATGAAATAAAGGACCAAAGTGTGTCATTACACAGACAGACGGTATATACATATTGCTGTTGAGTTGTAATCAGAAACAACGTGTCAGCCAAATCCGTTTTTATATCGACCACGAACACATTGTCAGTAAAAGTATTGGTTTTCCCGGAGTGTACACTGCTAGTACAGATGGTCACTGACAGTGCTGCGAGAAGAATGATTGTTAGAACAACTACAAATACAATTGTTCATTATCTTATTAACGTTACAGGTACTGACACGGTTCACCACTTGCCATCACATACTAACGTGACAGCGAAATGAGAAAATATTTTCACATTTACAGTCCAGTCGCTGTTTGCTGGGGGTTGACATGTTGTAACACATATGCACCGTCCTATAACTTTGGAAATGATTGTCCGACCTCAGGAGGATATCACGTTGGCTGGTTGTAGAAATGGTCATGTGATGTGTTGTGTGTCCGATAGCTAGCCGACTACCCATGTTGAATGACTTTGCCAAAGTTGGCTGAGACTCAAGCATTCACTGAGACTGACTGCTGTTTAAGTTTCTGTTACTGTTGTCTGTGACACACTTCCTTTGATATGGCAGGAGTTAAGTTGGTAGTGTTACATATTTTTGTAACGGGAGACGAACAGGTGTTTTCCTCGATTGTGCAGCCCTGTGTGCTATCAGGACTGCGCTTGCTTCTTGGTTTAAATGGCCACACCTTTACTATAGCCTCAATAAAACTGCCAGTTTGTCAGGTTGAGGAAGTGGAAACATTTGTGTCTCATCAAGCTTATGGATGCAGTTAGGAGTGCTGACTTTCAAGTGTAATGAATAAATGATAGCGACTTTTGGTGCTTCAGTCAAGCTTCAAAAGAGAAATGTGATCCGCCTTCTTTTTCGGTTTCAAGAAAATCATTTGTTTATTCAATCCTTTTTTATTGGTTTTGTAGCCTAGTCTGAACACACAAACGCTTTAGGCCTCGCCATCCATGAGACTGATGACTTTGGCCCTAAATGTAGGCAGTTTACTTGATCCAGGCTGTTCTTGTTGCTCTAGTTTTCCTTATTTCTATGAGGCCCTGTCTCTGCTCAATGCTTAGTAATGATAACTGTTTTGGCACTGATCCCTGAAAGGAGGTCAGAGGTCAGGGTCAGTACCATTGGAGTTGATTGTTACATTCAGTATCTTGCAGAGTGAATATTTGAACTCAGGCTTTCTCGTCTTATTATTTCTTCCTGCAGCTACATAATTATTGCCCTTCTTCTCACAGATCTCATGAGAATAGCAATTTTGAGTATGGCTGTAATGCAGGCGAATGCTGTCCTCAGATTTAGTTATTTTAATTTGCTGTTGATGATGTTAAAATAAATTGTGTAACAGTTCCTCAAAAACTTCACCAAAGTCACAGAGCCGCACAGTTTTTGCCTTCTGACTTAATGTGACAGCAGTTGATAAGTTAATATGTAGGCCTATCACGAGAGATTGTATGGAGACTGAGCTTTACAAAGCTATGCAATGGTCCTTTGTTCTTACAGTTACAGTGAAATTATTATGGAATGATTTTTGACTCCTCTTGATTGCAGGAGTGGGAGTGAAGGGGATTAATACAGAGGTAGTGAATTACTGTACATTAAAATGTAACTAATATTTCATCTTCAGGCAAGGGAAAGGCTTGTGCAGTCATGCCTTGACTTTACATCTTTGCAGTGAAATTGTACTGATTCTGAATGTATGTATATTTCACACTATTTGTTTCCATTCATATGTTTTACTTTCATGCAAAGGTTTTGCATCATAATAAAATAACTCTTTATTCAGATTGCATACTGTACCACACTGTAGTTCTTAGCTGTATGAACTGCCAGGTTATAACTGCAGTATGCTCTCTCTGATTTGTGTCATTTTGTTTGACTAATCAACTCACAAGTGAGTACCTATCACTAATGCATGACCTGGTTATGTTGTTTATTGTATGTTTCACAGCAAACATGGCTTGAACAGATCATGCAGAATGTTAGAACTGGACAATATAATCTAAATAAAAGATCAGAGGATAAATTGTCACAATTACTTATAATATAATAATAATAATTACAAATGTGTTTCTGTTTTTTTGTATTTGCTCATTTCTGATTGGTTTGTCCTGAGCTGGCATGGCTCTTCACAAGAGCACATAGGGAGCAGGAAGGATGCTCTCCTAGTGTATCATGGGTCATGGGATCCTGGAGAAAGCAGCCTGACATCAGCTCATGGTTCTGCTTTGGTGCTGTTATTACAGCGTGCAGGCTCAGCAAAGCAGGTTTACATACTACAGTTTTTTTCTTTAACCAGCCAAGTTTGCTTTACCACTTATACTGTAAGTTTAACCTATTTGATTACTGTGGTTTTGATCACCTCCCATAATGCAACTCTGCTAACCAGATATCAACAGGTCCACTATTTTCCATTTCTTCTGTATATAAAAGCAACTATCTAATGTGATCATTTTTCAACTTGCTATCACTTCATACAAAGCATATTTCTGAACACATGCTTCAATAAAAAAACTTTACTTTGAGAGGCTTAAAGCTTCTCAACATGTCATACATTCATAACAAGGGCCATGTCAGTTTACAGAGATTTTACAGGGGCATTTAGATCTGACATTAAGATTGTTTTGTCCCATTTGTTCCAAATAAATCACTTTGGCATCAAATCTTGTTAAACAACTTCTATTTTGTATATTGTTTAAGGTGCCAGTATATGCACTGTAGTTGTCTCCCCTGAAGCTGTCCATTTTGTATGTGATTGTGTATTACCACAGAGTAGTATCTGGGGTTGATGTGTTTATTGTCCATTTAAACCAACTGTGGTCGAATTGTGATAGAACTCTCATACCAACATATTATACTTCTCAGTTGTCTCCATATGTGTCATACATTTTACACACATCTGTTGTTGCTACATTGAGATTAACCTTTATAGCTAATATACAGCACCACCCGTACATTGGCTACAATAGCATAAAAGCAAGCATTTACCTTGGTTTGTGCTCTCGCTGTGTCCCTCCCTCCCCCTCAAACTTTGCAATAGTGTGTCTTCTGTCATCCGGTCAACTTGCGTAGCTTGCATTTTTATATATCATCCATTTATATAGTGTAGTGTAGACTCCAGTTAAAGAACTTTAACTGCAAAAGTTTCAAGTAAAATACCTGTAACTCGACACACAGAGCAGTTTGTCATGCACTCCACTTTGTACACTTACTCTAGCAAAATGGAAATATGTCATGTTAAATGAATGAAATGAAAAACTAATAGCTGCACCTGCTGCCCAGAAGCTTATCAGTGTTACAGGCCTGACCCATCAGGAACCAGTATTTATTGAAGACTGGTCCTCGATTGCCATCCCTACCTGGGAGTTGGCTGACTGTAATCATTAAGACTGGCTCTGGAATCCTGTTTATGTAATGACAACATTGCAAATAGTATTTAATAAGCAGGGTTTGACAAACCAGGTTTACTTTCCGGTGCCAAATAGGCACTGTTGATGATTTCACATACAAGTCCATAATGATAACGTTACTGTTAATTTACTTTCTCTGCATATGTGAATGTTTTGTAAGTATACACAGTCATCTGTTTACAAAACATGTCATCAGTCAACCCTTGCTAAACAAATTACAAAACATCCACCAACAGCCTTTCTGGTGAAAGTGTAATATATATGTATTATCCACAGAACACCTAGCAACGGTGGTATCATATGTAACTATCACTTTTTTTATATTTAGATGTTTAGGCTGTCAACAGTTAGTTGCTCACTAAGATAAAGATTATTACCCATTTGTCCATTGTAAACACCCATTAGGAGTTACTACCTCCTGTCCAAACTGTTCTCACATCCCTAAAGTTTACTTGGTGTATACGATGTTATAACCAAAAGAAATAGAGAAAGACCAAGGACACTAAAAGATACACTTCTAAAACACTATGATTTAGAAGGTAGAGCACAGACGTATGATTGGGCAGCACAATTTTTATATTATCTAAGGAAAGCTGTGAGCAAAATGTACACATTTTCTCAGATTGCTCATATGAAGGAAGGAAAAAAATAAGTGTAATTGGTAGTCATGTTCAATGATGATAAATGTGTGTAGTTTTAAATGAGATGTTTGTGGTCTGAGAAAGGATTCAGTTCCCTGAATATTCAGAAAAGATGGAGTTGAAATCTGGTAGTACTGACACTAAATGCATAGGATTCAGATTTATTTGATAGTAAATTGAACTTGTTCCTGTACCTACTCTTTGCCTGGTGGGAAAGGCATGCCATGCTATTTAAATATCACCTTACAAGGTTTGCATGTTGCACTTTGATCGGTGCTAGTAACTGACCAGCTGATATCTCGTGACAGGCTGTTGAGGATACAGATCTGCTGAACACTTGACATTCTGCAGCACTGTATAAATATAAGATAAAGCGTGCATTTGGGGCAAAAAGGAAACTGCAGTCCCAATACCACCTCAGCAGAACTGGCGTGAAGTGGAGATGGATGGGGTCCAGAAACGCATGCATTCCTCCTCCAGCCCCTCTCTTTATCTAACAGTAAAGGCAGCCCTCTTCCTCCTCACCCCTGGGCTTGTCACATGTCTCCCACCAGTGTCACATGGTAGAGGAGGAGGCAGAACTGGGCAGGCCTGTTGTTTCAGTCCTGGTAGACAATGGGTCCCTGGTTTCCTGTTGTGGAGCAGTGCAATGAAGTGCTGCAAGCCTCAGCACATTACATAGCACATCCTTCCCTGCCCTGCCTTGAACTGTACATGTGTGGGACACACAGGTCCTTTTTCTGCTGAGCAAGATGCTGCTTTCCTTTGAAGGAAGAGCATACAGGTTAAATCAACAGATGGGACTCCCTTGGGGTCATTAGGAATATTTCAAATCTGCTGGCTGATTCCTTATCTCTGTGAGATTCAGTAGCAAGCATCTGCTCAGTTTTATGGCTTTTAATGGGAATTTACTAAGTTTCACTCAGCTTCCTTACTAAAGAGCACAGTGTCTTCTGAGCTAGATGACTGTCTGCTATGGATCAGCTGAAATGAGCAAGACGACATCCTGACTAGGCCTTTATGATTTATCAGTTATTTGTATTGGGCAAGACTTGCATAAAAATAATGTTATTGATTTTGGGACCTGTATCAAATGCATACCTGGTATATTGCACCAGAAGCTTTCAAGGGTCCACATGCTGAAGAAAAATACAAATGTGTTCAAATGATTTTATGCTAAAATTGCGTACTTTGTTTCAATTCCCTTGTTTTAGACACATTGTTTGGTAATGGTATTAATAAAATAGCATATTTTTATGTGAAGTATTATAGTGACAGCACAAACAAGAAATACGGTGGCGCTGCAATGAAATCAACATTATACAGTATTTACCAAGATCGGCCAAGTTGATCCCTAGGCCCCACTTAAATTATGTGAGTGATTTCCATGTGGGGATGTTCATTACCTCATTTTCCCATTAGTTCTCATTCCCCAATGAAAGGATGGGATTTGCTTGGACTTAAGCTGATGTGGTTTGGTTCTTGTCTACAGTGCACTTGATCGCACTGTGAATGGAGCTGATAATAGCAGAGGATCCTGCCCTATGATCCAAGCACCTGCCGTGCTCTGAGTGAAGGTTTATTACACACAGTCCATCTATAACATATAGAGCGGAGCTGTGAGTGTTTGCATGCTTGGCTACTGTATATTTTCTGCTGGCAAAGAATGTGAAGGTTGTTGTTCTGTGTTACAACAACTGATTTTTATCTCTCATTGCCATTTTGGATTTCATTACGTAGACTTTGATAACATGTTGTACAAAAGTGTCAGCTAGGATATTCTTTATCAGTAGTTGTGGCAGACTGCGAGCAGTAGTAGATCATCATGTTAACTTGACTGATTGGTGTAACTGCAGTAAATCTTCAATAAAACGTCCATTGAGTTAGCAATAAATGGCACTCATTTCCTGATACTGTGTTGATAAAATTCCTTGGCACCCAGCTGGCTATCCTCTTTGTTGCTTGACATTAACCTGGGACCTTTCACATTCTTTTACGTATTTGCGTGGCACTTTTGCAGCCTCCGGTGCAAAAGTGCTGCCTTCTGAGACCTTCTTTGGCACATGTCCTACTATAATGTCATATCATTGATGCTGTTCTGAAGGTGATTAGAATGGAGCGAGGAAGCTAATGATTGGTCAAGACGCTAATGATGATGATATTATTAAGATTGTTATTCCTCCTTTTTCTCTCTAAGCTATACCACAATCTTGCTTCATCCTTTCAAAATATTAGACATTTCTTTTCGTTTACATTCCTTCATTCGTAATTCCTTTCTAAACTGCCGAATACACTCAGCAGATTAGTTTGTTGATCATCATGCCAGCTAGAGTATACATGATATCTCCTTCTTGCTCTCTTCCCTAAGATTGTCTCTCTTGTGCTCTCCTCCTGCTAACCCGTTGGTAAATAGCTGTTGATGGATTCAAAGCTTTTGGGCTAGCGTCTGCTCATCAAAGCTTGTGCTAACAGCTAAGCTAAAAGCAGCAGCAGCGCTGAATGCCAGGACAGGCTAGACTGAATGATTAAATGATTTTCCACATTGGTTTTAGCTCCACTGGTTTGACCTGCTTTTATCCAAATTCCTGCTCATTGATGTCACAGCAGCATTTACCCACAGCAGTGTTTTTACTATAAGGTTTCCATAGCAAACCAGTCTGACAGACCAAACTGATGTGTGGTCCTTCTCCCAGCAGGGCAACATGTGTCTGTTGTTCTATTCTAAAGGACAGAAGTACCGAATTAGGCCGTGCTGCTTTTTCCTGTTTTACAAATGCTTTTCATTGTGAATGAAAGGGCTTCCTGCTGATCCCAGAATAGATGGCAGATGGTAGAGTGAGAGAGAGAGAGAGCATGTAAATCTGTCTAGAAAGCTATTGTGTAATGATAGAAGATAACCTGTCTCTTCTGCCTAATACTTAGATATACCTCAGTCCGGTTTACAGTGATTAAAGATGATTTCGATCTCATAACCACTACTTGGGATCTTCTGATATTGTTATATATTATCTTCTGATAAGATGGCAGTTTTTATAGTGTTCTGATCAAGCGAATTGCTACTAGTTATAACTGAAAGCAGGTTTATTCAGTGTCTATATTCTTGCTGCGGGCGCTTTCCCTTTGTCTGGTGTTGGGAATAAATGCTGCCTTAGTAAACAAGGCTTCCCCACTGGACAATGGCAGCGATAAGAGACATGGAAGCAGCAATGACGTTACTGTATGATGTCACCCTCCCCAGTAATAAAAAAGAAAACATGAAACATGGTGAAAACGAATGAAATGAAACAAGTGAAAGCTTGCTTGCACTTGTTCTCTAAGGTCAATTATTGCAATGTCATTGAGAGGGAACCAGGTTACAAACTAGTGAAAGAATGTGGGTGGGGCAGGGCTGGGGGGGTGGGTGTGTCCTCTCATTGATAAAAGGTGTTCCCATTTCGTTGGGCAATTCCTGGAACTGTGGTTTCTGTTTGCTGATTAGCACCCAACTACAGTAAATTGTTGACAGTGGAGCAACATTGAACACTTGCCACTAAACTAAATTGTGGCTGTAGCTGGTAGTAGGCCATTTGGCTGAGATCCATATTGTGTTCACAGAACCACCCTTCATATTAAAAATAAATAAATTAGGGGGTCACAAATTATGAATCTGTTCACCTCTATGGCTGGTAAAGTTCAGACATTTCTCTGTTCAGCTAATGGTCTTTATATATTTTTATTTAAGAGTTATTTATTCATCACCATTAGTGGTACTTGGAGCTCTGGCTGCTAAAGAGAGTTTTGTCAGATTTTGTCACAGTTTAGATCTCAGCCTCTGCAGCTGTGAACACAACTTAATGGTACCATGTTGGTGTGATGATGTTTTAAATCCAGTGAGAATTGCCTGTTAAAAACCATACTGGACTTCAGAGAATCTTTGCAGTCTTTAATGGGGAAAAACAATCAGAACACATTTTACTATCAGCTAAATATTGTAAGGCAAAGTATTGAAAGGAAAGTAATGAATTATATTTGCATAGATTTATTCCAAGGTATGAAGCTGTCTCAATGTGTAGAAATATTGTGTCCAATTTAATCTGGTCAGCTCTATGGCAAATGGAAATGAAAATATCTTCTGTAGATTTCTCTACACAGCCGCTTTGTCAGAGGTTTGATCAGGAAATCAATGCTCCTCCTCCTCCTGAATAACTTCAGGTAATTATATCACATTTGTACAACTGTGGTGTATTGCTGACAGGTTGTGAAAGAAGAGGAAATTGCCACAGCAAAACGTGGCCTATACGAAATGTTTCTGGTAGTTTCATTTCCTTCAGGTTTACTTTACGACAGCGTTTCCATTTGCAATTTGTTAGCAGGAAGACACCGAAGTTCGTTCTGTTTGTGTAATGATGGCATTTAATCGTTTGCCATGTTCAGTGTTATTATTGAAATTTGGTTAATTTTTGCAATTGTAACCATGATACATGGTTTGTCCCTGTACCAGAGTCTTGACACTCCTGCCCAGAGCTGTTTTGGCACTGTCTTCAGTAGGTAGTGCTGTGTCAGGGTTTGTGTGAGGCAGGCACGATGCCCTGTTTCCAGCCTTGGCAGTAAGATGGGCTGCAGAGCTTGATGGTGTTATGTGCTGCAAAGCATTAGAGTTTTGGCCTCATGGTTTTGTTTTTATGCAGGTTAAACCTCTTTATGTCTTGTCTCATTGTTTGTTCGGCAGGGACACCAGTAAGTGAGGGAAACTGAGGCAACACTGGTGAACCTTGGTTTACTTTTGCTGGTTGACTGCGCTAACCTTCCTATTCAAATTAGTGTTTCATGTGATTTGGCTTAACATCGTGATCCTTGATTACAGGCGATTGTCAGGACAGATGGTATGGAAAACTTTGACTTACAGTCAACAGACTAACAGTATCTTAACCAAATAGTTACAAGAAGTAGTGAGACTGCAGTGAGACTTTAGTGTTGTGTAATACTGTTGTAGTTTCCTCTTTGGCCTATGCTTGAGAACTTGGCGTTGGATTAGCCCTCCACCCAGCCCAGCTCTGTAAACGCTGTGACCACTCCACAGCTCCATGTGTCCCAAAGAGCTGCTGTTCAGGATTGGTGACCTCATCAGCTGGCTGTGGTTGTGCGATGCAGCTGAGTCTAAGCCTTCTTATTGAACGCTATTGTTATTTGGTCAGTACCAGACATTTTGATTAATTTGACGATTAAAATTCATAACGTGTGCACAATGTTCTCAAGCATTTATTGCTCTTAAGCCCCATGACTCACTGCAACACTTGAAAGTCATTTTCTGCTGTCTGTCAAGTCAACTCCTGTATTATGTCACATGGTCAAATGGCAGCCTGGAGATGTGATTGTGGCAGGAAGAATGTGATCTAAAAGTTTTAATTTATTTTGTTTGCAAATTATATTTAACTGTAACCTTTTGCAGGCTGTTCTATCTATGTTCTATTCTACCTAACATGCCCCCCCCCACACATTTTTCCCCTTTTTGTTAGCTCCAAAACTTAGGGATCAATCCGGCCAACATCGGCTTCAGCACCCTAACCATGGAGTCAGATAAGTTCATCTGTATCCGGGAGAAGGTGGGCGAGCAGACTCAAGTGGTGATTATTGACATGGCGGACCCCAATACACCTATCCGCAGGCCCATCTCAGCCGACAGCGCCATCATGAATCCAGCCAGCAAGGTCATTGCACTTAAAGGTAAGACAGTGTATTGGCTTTGCAAAGGCCATATTTGTCTTAATCAGTGTAGGAATTACCAGAGAAAGAGAGAACTACTTTATATTACTTCGGTGTTGTATTTTATCTAACCCCCTGTAAGGGGCCTGCAGCATTCAGTTCTAACATGTTTGTTCAATATAACAACATTATCCATATAATAAAGAAGAGTATTTATAAATGATTTTCATCTATTTATGTTCATACACATCCAGCTACTTTAGTTTTCCGCTGTGAAGTAGTTTTATTGGCCAACATTACAACATTTGTCCTGTAAATATTCAAAATAGCATATTTTTAATTCTTTTTGTCCAGCATCCATGATTGCTTTGACTTTTTTGTTGTTTTTGTTTTTGTCTTTTCTATGTTCTTTTTTTTTCTTTACTGCTTTCTTATGTGTTTGCAGACGGTGAGTGGAAATTTAACTACTTTGTTGTGGAAGTAAAATCCTGTTTTCAAGACAGTTTTTATGAAATTATCCTATTCAGTATGGCTCTCTTCAGTAAACAAATTAAGTATTACACAAAGTAATATAGTATACTGATTACACTTTATCCAACATTGTGTTCCATTGGGAGTGGCCTAGCTAAGTTAATGTCCTAGCTTTTATATCATCATATTTCTTAAGCCATTTCTGGATTATTCTTTGGACCTTTTTCCTCCGTCTGGGCCACAGAAAATATTTCTTCGTAAACAGGATTTAGCTTTCACAGCCTTATAGCTTGCTGGCATTCCATCATTTTTATTACATGTATAAGTCGTGATTTAGAACCTGTTTTACATGTGGTAAATCTATGGGTAAAGATTATTTCATTTAATTCACATTTCTTCTCAATTTTCATTTGAAATCCATGTCTTCTTCCATCTGTGTGAAGTGTTAATTACCCAAACCTGTTGTTTCACTTGTTTCATAGCTGTGTTTAATAAATGTTCATAAATTTAGCAACTTTTGACAAACTCATGGTTCTCTATACCGAGGACTATACCAGAGAGCGTAGACTTAATGTGCTGACTTGTGTGGAAAGTCTGATGGCATCTGATAGCTGTATTCTTTTAATTTACTTGTTCCTGATGAGACAGTGGTCCTAGATGAGAAGTGAACTGGGTCACAAGACTTTGGATAGTAACCTGTGAGGCTTACTTGTCAGGGCGTAAAAAGTAAAGTTAAGGAGCACTTGAGTCCAACACCTTTTGTGTATCCATGTGTCTGCGTTCAGTGCTTGGCCTTCTCTCTGTCCAACTATTAAATAACATTTTATGAGCCAAACAGCTTGTGTCTTAGGATTTATGGCTGAACTATCTCAATGTTGTCACAGTTTTATGTTATGAAATGAGTGGATGTCTAAGGCCCACTGGACCTTCAGGTTTCCTTGTAAAATGAGTACATTAGTTTGATCACCTAAAATGATCCTTGGTGGGATCCTTATTACCCCAGCTCATTTTACTTTTATAATTGTGTAAACTGCTAACCAGGCTCGAAGGTATTGATTTCAAGTAAACATTGTGATCATTTTTGTTGGGTTGATGCTGGGGTGTTGATGGTAAAAGAACTTTTCAGGTGTCACAGTGTTCTGCCCTCTTCCTTTTAAATTAGTTCAAATTAGTTAACAATCTGTCTCTGCTAACTGTTCTCCCTAATCCATAAAGTACAATGTGCAGTTAAAAATTGTGTGCTAAACTTTTATAGCATTCTAGCACACTGCTGATAATCATGTGACATACAGACAGGAGCAGGTGTGAGCTTTACAATAGTCCTATCTTCCCTCATTATGCTGCCTGGTTAAATGTTACACGGGAAACACAAAAGACTCGTAATTTCCAGTCTTTTAGGAGAAGCAGATTGGTTTAAAGCTACTTAGAATGTATGCAAAAATGATTGCCTTAATGCTGATCCCCACATTTAGCTGTAAACGGGATCCTTGTGTGATCAGGACAGCTCAGAACAACAAACAAGAGAAAAATTGGCTAGGAAATGCAATTGAGCATTTTTTTAATAAAATAAATGAGGAAATAATGAGTCTTACAAGTACAGTAACATCAGTATCAATAATGCACATTCCTCATCAGTCACAGCACATGAGAGGATCTCTTATGACTATGTAGAAAGGAACAGGTACAGAAGTTCAGTAGTGTATGGAGAGCTCCAGATCCATATTGGCTCAAGTTGTAGCACCTGTCTTTTGCTCACTAATTATGCAGCGTAGGGTCAGCACAGATCTTTCCTCCCTCTTTCTACCCCCACTGTCTTTCCTGCTCAGTCTACCATAATGATGCGTCTCAGCCGACCTTGTCATGTGATACAGTATTGAGCCTTAATCTTTCTATGCAACCATGTCTGAAGAACGGACACAATGCGCACACACACCTCCAACAGCTGATCATGATTCAATTAATTATTCCCTTTGCTTGCTCTTTAAAATTTGGCTGCTGCTGCAAGTGGTGCATTCACCACGCCTCTTGTTTTACTCTGATCCCATTGCTTAGTGATTGCAAAATTATCTTGACGGTTGTGCTAACGCATTGGTCTTTGCTTTTTCTCACTTTGTTGATCAGTATTGAATAATGAGCAAACAAGGAAGTCACACTGCATCTTAATAAAGCTTTAGCTCACTAAATTAACCCTAACTAATAAACAAAAAAATGCAGGTGAGTGAACCTTTTCTGAACATTTAGTTTTTGATCTGTTATCAGGACATCACAAACCACATTTAACTTTGATTGTACACTGTCAACCATAATCATTATTGGAAACCTTTCCTACGACTCTTGTCCAAAAGTCTCTTATTTGCTTAAAGTGTACCCCCTCCCTTAATTGTGCCTCTACGTATGTGTTTAACTGTCGCCACCGTTGTATATTTGACTCAGACGCAGATGTGTTTGCCTTCTTTGTGAGTTGTTTGTTTCTTGCTTCTACCCTCTGTCTGCTTTGTTTCTCTTGATGAAGGCTGTTCGTTTAATGGGGCAGGCCAAGTAGTCGGACATAACCATACATTACATATGTGTACATTTATTAAACATCTTTCCAGAGCTGTGGTCAGTTTAGTTAAATTTGGTGTTTATTAGTATATATTCTTAATTTATAATGAGAAGAAAGAGGTATGCATGTAGTCAGTCATTCACACTCTCACAGACCACAAGGAGCACCTGTAACCTATATTGTCTTTTAGTCTTGCTCACTGGATTGTTCGTTAAGTTAATGCATATTGAAAATAACTTTCCTCCTTATTCTGAACTATTATTTTACACACATCTGGCGTTAGGTGACTCTGCAGTTACGTGTTCTTATTTGCCTGCCAATTCATAATGTACCCATAGAATTTGAATAGAAAAATGTACTTGCACATATTTGACACCTTGTGTATCCTCTCTGGAGGCCAAAATTTAATTCACTTGTTTCATTTTTATTCTACGCCAGTTGTCACTCTACACTTAAGATATGACACAATTTCCGACTACAGCATGTATGGCATCCCCTTTCTATCAGTCATGGCGTTGTTGCTTGATGACGTCTGTGCCATGACTACCAATATTTCAAATTTGAATATCCCTTTTCTATTGAAATTTGGTGTTTCTTTTCCAATGAATGTATGTGTATGTGGGGACACACTGTTATCAGAAACTATAACGTTCTTCTGGGGCCTGGCTCCCGCCCCCTTTCTCCCCCCCTCTAGCCGCCAAAACCCTTCAGATCTTCAACATTGAGATGAAGAGCAAGATGAAGGCGCATACCATGACGGACGATGTTACTTTCTGGAAGTGGATCTCCCTTAACACAGTTGCACTTGTGACTGACAATGCCGTCTACCACTGGAGCATGGAGGGTGACTCGCAGCCTGTGAAAGTCTTTGACCGGCACTCCAGCCTGGCAGGCTGCCAGATCATCAACTACCGCACTGATGCCAAGCAGAAATGGCTCCTGCTCATTGGCATCTCAGCCCAGGTAATTTACTGCTCATGTCTTATACCAAACATATTAAGTTCAGTGGTGTAGACCTGTAGCGTTGAAAACCTGTCTTCATCACAGAGAATATACAACAGATATCTTTTTTTGCATGCCCATAGATACACAGTAGCTTTACCTTCAGTATTGGTCAGTATGGGTTGTACATATTAATGTGTATTGTTTTGCCTTTTTCAGCAAAATCGGGTTGTGGGTGCCATGCAGCTCTACTCTGTTGACAGAAAGGTTTCTCAACCCATTGAAGGCCATGCTGCTAGCTTCGCCCAGTTCAAGATGGAGGGGAATACAGAGGAATCAACTTTGTTCTGCTTCGCTGTCAGAGGCCAGGCTGGTGGGAAGGTGACTGATGTTAATAATGTAATAAGGGAAACAGACTTTAATGTCATTGCATTCTCGTAGCAAAACCTCACTTGTGGTTTCTCTCTTTGGACGCAGTTGCACATCATTGAAGTGGGGACCCCACCAACTGGCAACCAGCCATTTCCGAAGAAAGCAGTGGATGTGTTCTTCCCTCCAGAAGCCCAGAATGACTTCCCTGTGGCTATGCAGGTGTGTACTTGGCTTAAACTAGGGCTGTCACTTTTTCAAAAAGTAAATAAATACTAGGGATGCACCGATATGAAAATTTTGGCCGATACCGATATTAATTTTGCTGTTATGGCCGATAACCGATATTTACCGATATCGATATATGTTTTTTTTTTAAAGTTTCTGAGATGATAAAATTTTG